TATTCTATTTTATTCTACTGTATATAGTATTTTATTTTATTCTATTCTGTACAGTTGTGTACTGTATTTATTCTTATTATATTCTAATTTTTGCTTCATAACTTTTGCACTGTCCACTTCCTGCTGTGGCAAAACAAATTTCCCACGTGTGAGACTAATAAAGGTTATCTTATCTTATCTCATGGTAACGTGTATGAGTCCAGTGTACCTGACAGGCACTTTTGACTTTTTGTACACAGTTGATTTTGTAAAGCTCCTCGCACTGAATTCATAATCAAGTTCACTGATTGACTGCCCTGCAGTGCTGCTTTCCTGTATTCCTGTTTCATCCACTTTAATAAAGTGTCCTGTGTTACAGTAATTGAGTTGTGGATTTACTTAATGCATCACATTAATTAATCAGCATCACAATAATCCTAAGGGCACTGACAAAACATACAAGTATAAATAAATAAAATCTATAGAAAGAAACATGTTTTATATGTTTTCATTAAGTTACACACAAATAGCATTCTCTGCCAACAGGCTCAGAAGACACAAAAACATAACAGACCAAAACGAAAGAAGCAATGTGTACAAGCAGGTACAAAGAAAAGTTTTTGAAGTATTTGTACAACACCTGCCTGAGGAACAGCTTCAGTGTTTCCTGGAATTGATTCTGAAACACTAATAGAGCTATTATCTATCTGTTATGTTAGTCAGATTTCCTGCAGATAGTCTCGGTTGAGGTCTAGTGACTGTGAAAGCCATGGTATATGATCACACCATCTTCATAATCAACAATTCAGTGAACCCCCTTGAAATACTTATTCACAGAAAAAAGACAATCTCTCATAGCAACTTTGCATTGATTTTACGACTCCTTTCACTGGACCCTAACAGGGCATCAAAGTGCAACAATGTCTCTCCATGCAGGGGGTCAAGAGTTCAGGGTATGCCTTTAATTTCTTCAACAATATAAAATTTTGCACAAAAGGAATTACTAATGTAAAAAAAGTGGTTTTATTTATGCGGTGGCCCCTAGAGACAAAACATGTACAAACTCCAAAACACATTTCTAGCATGAACTGAACTTCCAAAACAGAGCTACCTACATCACTTAAATTACACAATTGAAAGCATATGTGTTTTATACACATGATGATGGGCTCGGGAAGATTCGGAGGGTGAAGGTAACAGTGATCCTGGTGGCAACTGGAGTGCTCACTGACGTGACACCCCCCCAGTTAGATGTGTGGCTCCAGCAGATCCCAGGAACAACATCTGAGATGTCTGTGCAGGAGAGCGCAGACCTAGTAAAAGCTAAGCTCGATGAACAAAACAAAGAAAAGGAAATTATTAGAAATGTTATTTAATTATTTTCTTTCTCCTCTTTAGGCTTGGTCTGTTCTGAAGAATCACAAATAATCGTGAAGGCTGGAGAGACTGTGACTTTACATGTTAATAAAACATGGCATCAAACCCAGGATTACCTTTGGCTCTATGGGCGACATTCCCCAGAGACAATCACCATCGTCATCAGGGGAGACGTCACTCGTATCAATGGAACCAGATTTACAGACAGGCTCAACACAGAGGTGAACACGGGATCGATCACCATCTCAAACCTCACCGTCCATGACACCGGAGTATTTTCAGCTCAGTTCTTTACACCAGACGGAGTCTTGAAAGAAGCGTTCGACCTCATCGTCCACGGTAAGTAATAAATAACCGTTTCCTGTCTCTGAATGTTTCAGATTCAGTCGTTTGCTTTGAAAACTGTTTGCTTTGATTTTTGAGATTCTGTGCAGTGTTGAAATTCTCAAATAATAACAAAATGACAATTTTCTTTGTGCATTTTTTGTGATTTCTCTTTAAAAATCCAGATAATACAGTTATTGATGTTACTGATGTTGATGTTCTGGAGGGGAACGATGTCACTCTGGACCCTAAACTAAACATGCGACTGAGAAACCCCAAAGTCAGATGGATGCAGGGTGACAGCTGTAGAGAGGCCATAGTTGTGTTGGAGAATAATATGACCTCTATTAAGGAAGGCTTTGAGGGTCTCCTGCTGCTGAACCCGTGCACTGCAGAGCTCACCTTCATCAGCATAACCAAAAACCTCCCTGTGTTGTTTCTGCTCTCTAAGAGTCTGCTGCAGCTTCTTGACCCACAGTTACATTTAGTTTGGTGACTGCAGGGCACTGAGAAATGAGCTCAGTGTCTCACAAACCACAAACATGAGATTTTTCTTTTTCCATGTTAACTTTGATAATGAGCCTTTTTTTAAACCACCATCACTCCTGAGGTAACACTGTGAAAGCTGTCCTGTCTGCTTCCTCTGATGTTTGTTCATTTACTTCATATGCAGACGTTCTGCTTCATTTCTGGTTTAGCAGAGCAGACTCCACACGAACACTGTCACCATCGGCCCCATGATCCACGTCAAGGTGGAGAAATAGGGAACTTTCAGTAAGCAGATTTCAGGTTGCAATCAGGACCCTATCGATTTACAGCCATTTAGATTCACACTTTGAGGTAAAACTTACAAATGCTCACTGTCATTTCATTTATTTCACACTTGGTACAACAAATCAAACAAACCAACCACACTTTCTATCAAAAAGCACTACAACCATGTGTGAAAAGCAGCAGGAAGAAGAAAACGTTCTTATTAAACCCCGCCCCCTATCTACAATCCAACTTATATCACAAGTGGGCACCAAAAATCAGGGAACAAACTAACATTAACATTTCTCTCCGGTCCTAACCCAAACCAAACAACAAATATACCACTCCACATAGTAACAAGGAGAAAATAAAATTAAAAAACAAATAAAACAAAAAAAATAATGGATCCTTTTTCAATGAACTCCAATTTCATTCACATTCTTCATATTGAGTTATCGTTTTAAGCATGTAACACTTTTTAAAACAATGTAAACTTATACGATTCTTTAAATTATAATGAAGAGAGTTCCACAGTCGTACCCCTAACCGTTGGACTCATTAATCTTTGTTGTCCTAGCTAACTGATGTTTAAAATAAAATTTCCTTCTGCTATCTTCTCCCCCTGAACACAATAAAAATACTCTTTGTAACTTAAAGGGCAAAATATTATTTTTAGCCTTAAACATAATTAATAGTGTCCGTAGTTTCACTAAATCTCCTAATTTTAATCATTTCGATTTTATAAATAATTTATTTGTATGTTCTCTATATTTAACATTATGAATCATTATGAATTTCGTTTTTGTCAGATTCAAAGATAATTTATTTACATCAAACCATTTTTTAAATCTCAGAAATCATAATTTCAACCAAATCTTTCAAATTCTCTCCAGAGCAATAAAAATTTGTGTCATCTGCAAATAAAATAGAATTTAACCTTTTTGATACGTCACAGATATCTTTAATATATAAATTAAAGAGTTTAGGTCCCAAAATAGAACCTTGAGGAACACCACATACAATCTTCTGTCTTTCAGAAGTATTGCCAAAATAATGAACATATTGCAACCTATTCTCTAAATAACTCATTAACCAACTCAATGCCACTCCTCTCACACCATAGTTATACAATTTAGAAATCAAAATAGAATGTTGTATCGTATCAAAAGCTTTTTTTAAATGAACAAATACCCCCACTGTGTATTTATTGTTATGTGTTGCAGATGAAATATCGTCAATGAAAGTCAACATTGCTAATGCCGTATATTTATTTTTACGAAATCCAAATTGGTTTTCATGTATTAGTTGATATTTTTCAATAAAACTATCAAGTCTTTGCGCAAAGAGCTTTTCAAGCATTTTTGAAAACTGTGACAAAAGAGACACTGGCCTATAATTGTTAAAACTATGCTTATCTCCTGATTTATATAAGGGTATCACTTTTGCCACTTTCATTCGATCAGGAAATACTCCTGATTGTAGCGAAAGATTAAAAAATATAGCAAAGAGGAATACTTATACAATCTAAAGTCTTTTTAATTATAACCATGTCTATACCATCACAGTCAGTAGATTTTTTATTTTTAAAATTTTCTATAATTGCTACTATTTCTTTAATGGTAATATCAGCCAAGAATATGGAATTAACCATTCTATTATCACCTATCCAGGCTTCCTCATATTCTGGATCGTCATTTTTCCTAATTAAATTTGCTAAAGTAGGTCCAACATTTACAAAAAAGGAATTGAATTCGTTTACTACTTCAGTCTTGTCTTCGACAACTTGATTATTCTTAATAAAATAATTAGGCCGATCTAAGGGTGTGTTCTTGTTACCCAATACCTCCTTAAAAATATTCCAAATGCCCTTAATATTATTCTTGTTTTCCTGAAAAAGTTTATTATAGTAGTCTTTCTTAGCTTTCCTCAATATTAATACCAACTTATTTTTATAGACTTTATATTTCATTTCCGCATTCTTAGTTCTCTGTGTTATATAATCCCTATATAAATTATTTTTCTTTTTACATGCATTTGCAAGACCCTTAGTTATCCAAGGTTTCATATTCTTATTCTTTTTCTTATACTTAAATGCTACCAATGGACAATGTTTATCATACAAAGCCCAGTAAGTATTTAAAAATGCTCCGTATGCAACCTTGACCTCATTAACATAAACCTCCTTCCAGTCCACTTCCATGAGATCTTGTCTAGACTTGTTAATTGCCTCGTTATTTCTTAACCTTCACGAAACCAACTTCTTCCTTTCTTTTCATATTTAAATCAAAAGTAAAAAAGACTGGTAGATGATCGCTTATATCATTTATAATGATATACTCATAATATTACTCTCCAAACTATTAATTAAAATATGATCAATTAGTGTTTCTGATTTATCCGTTATTCTACTCGGCTTTATAATTAAAGGATAAAATCCTTTACCAAATAATAATTCAAAAAAATCTGACGCAGCCTTATCATTTGCCTCTTTACAAAGATCAATATTGTAATCACCACACAATGTGGGGTGGCTGTAGCTCAGGTGTCAGAGCAGGTCAGCCACTAATCAGAAGGACGGTGGTTCGATCCCAGGCTGCCTCCTGGCTTGCCAAGATCTTGGGCAAGATACTAACCCCGTGTTTGCCTACTGGTGGTGGTCAGAGGGCCCGGTGGCGCCAGTGTCCGGCAGCCTGGCCTCTGTCAGTGCGCCCCAGGGTGGCTGTGGCTACAATGTAGCTGCCATCACCAGTGTGTGGATGGGTGAATGACTGGATGTAGTGTAAAGCGCTTTGTGGTCCTATGGACTAGAAAAGCGCTATACAAATGCAGGCCATTTAAGGTTCATCTGTGATACTGCATACAGAGGGGGGATTCAGCTTTGGGGAATTGGGGGTAAATTTAAAACATCCTCGTGTCCGTACGACACTAAAACGTTATTGCATCTCTTTATATGGAGTGAAGCTGTGGCTGAGTAATGAACTGAAGCACGGTCCCAGCGAGACTCAGTTTAGAAAGCAAAACAGGGAGGAGGCGGGGCTTTAACCAGGCACTCTCACCCACTATTTACATTTGTGTGTTTGTAAATGTGTAATGTATATCTGCTGATCTGTTACTGGGGTTTTAAAACTAAATCCAAGTTGTAAGGGAAAGTTTCTGAAAGCATACGACAAAAACAGGAAGAAAAGTGATGATCACTAAACAGTCGAAAAAGGGTGAGATTAAAAATAAATTAAAGCCTGCACTTCTTCCTTTTTGCAGTTTTTTATTAAGATTAATTTTGTGCTTGTGTTTTGTTTTGTTTGTTGTTGTATTATGTTCACATGTTCAAATTAAAATCACATTACAATTACATACATAACAAATGGCGACTGTGCACACTTCATAATCTGATAGTTTTGCATGTGCACTTCTTTACTTTTTAACACTCGTTAGTGAATGAAGCCGTTCTCTTTGTGTATATGTTAGGGTTCCTGGGTCGGTGACCCAGTGTTTTGTGTTTTTGGTTCTTTGATTTTGTTATTTCATTATATTCTAGCTTTGCTTTACGGGTTTTTCTTAGTTAAGGTCCTCTGGGTGGGGTTTGGTTAGAGTTTTAGTGTTCTGGTTTTCTGTCTGTGTTCCATGTTGCTGTCTGCTGTATTTCCACGTCCAATCAGTGTCTGTGTCTGCCCTGGTTAGGGATGGGTATTGATAAGATTTTAACGATTCCGATTCCATTTTCGATTCTGTTTAACGATTCGATTCTTTATCGATTCTTATTTTTATAAAAAGGAGAACACTAAGGTCGATTAGCTTAGAACTTTGTTTTATATCTTCTCTTTGAACAAGATAGAAATTTAGGAGTAACATGGCCTTACAAACCCAACAGTGAGATCTTAAGAGATCCAGCCTC